TAACCAGTGTTGGGGCTCAATCGCAAAGTCAGCTGGCAAACGCCCAACATGCGCGCAAAGCTTCCAAGGGAGTCCATCAGTCCCAAGACAAAATCAGTTCCGCCCGAAGCCTCTTTGCATTTGTTATTCCTCTCCTTGCTGCCGAGAGGGAATCCATTCGCAGTGCTATTGTCGTTGCTTTGGGATCTATTCATAAAAATCTCTATCGCACGCTTCTTGAGTCTCTGCAGTACGCCGTCACTACCTGCAACGAGGAAGCAAAGATGAGAATTGGCAACCACTACCGTAGCCCCAGCAGCCCCCGTCGAAACAGGAAAACCGATCGCTTGCGCACCGAGGTGACAAATGTTTACAAACTTACGTCCCACTTTCTTCAAGAACCGGAGGTTTACAATGACGACTGGATCGTCAACAACCTTGTCACATACGCAAAAGAAATTCGAATCTTCCTTAGTGATGCCGAGGTTCAGAACGACTGGGAATTCCAGCGACTGCGATTCCATTACTGCGGACTGATGGAGGAGATCTTTGAAGGCATCAATCGTACCAAGGATCCTGCTCGCTGGATGCCTTTCGAGTCGCGGAAGTCTGCTTTCTCCCTTATGGAGGACTGGTGTGGGTATTCGCCAAACCAATCTCAAATCTCTGAGAGGGAAGAGAATATGCGCAAGTTTTCCACGTCCCGACCACATGAGACCGGTGAGATGAAAAATACCGCTGCTGCTATGGAGATTGAGAAGAAGAATCTTCGCGCAGCAGCCTTGAGTGCAATGGCTTTTCTCTGTGCTGGCCCCATCAGCATCACCACTGAAAGTGGTTCTATCCTCCAATTCGATGTCACTCGCATGCTTTCATGGATTGAAATGATCTTCAACACTGTCAGTGATAAATGGCATGCCATCGGCCGCCGAGCTCTCAAGAACCTCATCACCCACAACCAGGAACACTCTTATCTGATGGAGCGATCGATAGAGATGTGCTACGTTACTGAGCGGCCCAAGACCATTGAGAGCTACTTCGAGGTGGTGACGCAGGTTCTTTTTGAATACCCGGACTGTCCTCTCGAATTCTGGAGAGTTCTAGGAGCAGTCTTGGTGACACTGGGTCACGAAAAGCGTGAGATCCGAATGAAGTCTGCTAAGCTTCTCCGAACACTCGAGGAACGCCAGCAAAAGAACTCCAGGCTTCAGGATTTTGATATTAGTATCTCGGATAAGACTACTGCGGTGTACAAGCTGGCCCAGTTTGAAATCTCTAAAAGATTAGCTAGTCAACACTCTGACTTAGCATTCACTATCTTTTCAGAGTTTTCTTTGCATTTCCGCAGTCTTCAACCAGACAGCCAACGGAATATGGTTGCTGCCATCCTGCCGTGGGTTCAAACGATAGAGCTCCAGGTTGACCCGAATGGCGGCCCTACAGCCAAGTCATACATGTTGCTCGCAAACCTCTTTGAGATAACAATTCGCGGCAGTACAGTCCTGCCTAACCAAGTGCAAGCACTGTGGCAGGCCTTGGCAACAGGTCCCCACGGGGGCAATGTGCAGCTGGTCCTCGACTTTATCATCACCATCTGTCTGGAACGCAAAGAGCAAAACTTTGTAGAGTATGCTAAGCAGATGGTCGTTTTCTTGTCCGGGACTCCAGCAGGATCAAAGGTCATCGAATTTTTCTTGTTGCAAGTTGTTCCAAAGAACATGGTGCAAGAGCGGAAAGAACTCACTCCGCCCCCTCCTGACATCAAAAGCTTGCCATATGTTGCGGACCTTGGGACTGTGCTTCCTGTCGGAAATAAACAAGCTGGTTTATCCCTTGGACAGGTTGCCCTGATATTCCTCGTTGATCTGATGGTCGCTCCGGTGACTCTTGCTCTGAGTGATGTTGTAAAGCTGGTCCACATCGTTCTCATCCTCTGGGATCACTATACAGTCACTGTGCAGGAGCAAGCTCGTGAGATGCTAGTACATCTTATCCATGAACTAATAGCGGCCAAACTTGAGGACGATGCCCCGGCGGGCGCCCGGCAATCTGTCGAAGACTTTGTGGAATCAATACGTGAGAGCGACCCCGCGGTCGTTTGGGAATACGAAGAGAATCATGGCAAGGAGGATGATATTGATGATCGCCGAGTGCCTGCATCTATGGCTTCTGTCGCCCGTGACGTCGTCAGGTTCTTTAGCTTTGCTTACGAAGGTGTGGGCGACCTGTGGGCCAAGGAGGCATTGAACTGGGCCACTTCGTGTCCGGTGCGACATTTAGCATGCCGCTCGTTCCAGATCTTCCGCTGTATCTCGACATCATTAGACTCGCGAATGCTGGCTGATATGCTTGCCCGGCTTTCCAACACTATTGCGGACGAGGAAACAGATTACCAAACCTTCTCGATGGAGATTCTAACCACGTTGAAGATCATTATCAGCTCCCTAGCACCATCAGACCTTCTGGAATATCCTCAGCTATTCTGGACCACATGTGCTTGTCTTAACACAATCCACGAGACCGAGTTTATCGAGAGCATTGGCATGCTTGAAAAATTCCTTGACCGGGTTGATCTCAGTGATCCAGTTGTGGTGGCCAACCTTATCGAGGGTCAACCACCAAACTGGGAAGGCGGCTTCGATGGTCTCCAGGACCTTGTCTTCAAGGGAATGAAATCTTCCGAGTCTTTTGGTCGTACACTCGATTTGCTTCATATTCTCAGTGTTCTTCCAAACAATGATCTAATCGGAGACGGAACTCGACATCTATTCACTGTGTTAGCTAACCTACCCCACTTCCTTCAATGCTTCAAGGAAGGTTTTAGTGACCCTAAGCCCATCGCTCGTGCTAGCATACTTGCCCGCGTGGCTGAGAATGAGAGATGCCCTCGCCTTGCAGCATCGTTGTTCGGGTTTGCCAACCAGCAGTACAAGACTGCCGGGGTATTCCTCGACCATATCATCACCGAGATCAAGTCATATTACTTCCCCCAGCTAGACTTCCAGTGTCTCATCTTCCTCATGGGACTTCTCACTAACACCACGGATTGGTTCCGCACCAAAACAATGAAGATTCTCTGTGTCTTGATTCCCGAGGTGGATATGCGGCGCAGTGAAGTCACCTGCCATGGCCCGGATCTGATCTCTCCACTACTCCGGCTTCTACAAACCGATCTCTGTCCTCAAGCTCTGGAGGTCCTGGATCATATCATCACTGTCTCGGGGAACCCAATGGAGCGGCAACATCTTCGGATGAGTATGGCATCAGCGGCCTCTTCTCGTGCTATCCGCAAAGAGTACGAGCGAGTCCAGAGTCTGTACGGAATTCCTGAACCGACGGGATGGTCGGTTCCTATGCCTGCGACTCAGTCAAACTTGACCCGGCACAACGTCCACGCTGTCTTTTACACATGTGTTGAAGCTGAAGACAGGCGAGATGAAGATGCCATAACACCCGGTGTGGCCTTCCATGCAGACGAATTCAGCGACTCGTTCTTCCCAATGAGAGCTGATACCATGAAATCAATCGATACACAGATCGACGGCAATATGGGAGATATTGTGCAGAAGCTGGACAGCCTAGATGACTTCTTCGAGGATACTGATTCAATCACCCCTATGATGAATCCTATTGCTCCTCCGATGCTGCGAGGATTCACTGGTAACTATGTGGACACCAACGCACATCTGTACGACCAGCAGACCGCGCCAATTTTGCGGGAATCACTTGGCCGGACAGGCTCTGCATCGTCCTTCCACAACGGGCTTGCCGAGTCTCGCCCGCCCAATTTTCGCCTCGATGGCCCGGGTGTGTACTCCCCGGTAACTGCTCTTCCTCCAAACGGCTCACAGATACTACGATCTGGTTCCCATGCCCGCTCTGTCACCTCCCCTGCCAACAATCTCTATGTTCAAACCGCTTTAAATGCACACAATGCCACACTTCCCGTTGGATTCAGCGATTCCGCCTTTCTGTCTGATGAGGATCCAGACGAGGTGCACTCGGATCTAGAGGAACGCCCAGTGACCAAGAAAACGATCACTCCACCTGCGCCCATGATCCGCAGTGCAACCGATGGACCACACTCCCTGGAATCAATGATTCGCAGCGGCATGCGGAGGCTGACTGGTGGCTCAGCCAACCGAGAAAAGGAGCGGCAGCGGGACCTCTTCCGTGTACAACACCGCGCTATTGTGCAAACGGTCAACTCGCCCCGTGTCCCAAAGGTACCCGAGGAATATCTCTCAGCGCCTAACAGTCATCAGGCATCTCCGAGGTGAAACTGTTACACATCTCTGGCCCCTGTCACACCTTTCTGCTTGATCCTTTTGCTCTTTTTTCTGTTGTCAGTCCTTTTCTAGGCTGCCTGGGCATTTCTTGGGAGTTTGGATCACTTTACATACCCTTTACTCGTCCATCTACTTCGCCATTGGTCTTGTCTTTCTAGCGTTGATTTGCGCCTTTGCATTCTGTATAGTCCATATAGTCATGTCCTGGAGGTTGGTGGACTTGCATATCAGGTGTTTTCATTTCAAAAATCAAAGTCTATTAAATTGCATTAACGTTAAGAGTTCAGATGTCTTTACCAAGGCAGCACTCTGGTTGAAATTTGTAACTCGCTATAGAAAATTTTTCTAGTATTTCATTTAAGGTTCAACATCCATGGCAATACATACCTAGGTACGAAGTACAACATCGATCAGACCAAAATTTGATACCCCACAAGTGGCACGTGATGCTTCTCCGCGGCTTTCCTAATCCGGTTTTCCCCGCATTTCAGTCTGCTGCGATGCGGACAAATCCATTGCATTTCGGACAGCAACGGTCAAGGGCTATATTTAAATATCCCCCTCTCCCCATTCCAGCCTGCCAGAATTCAAACAATCTAGTGTTGCTTTGCACCCTTGAAATCGGCATTGTTGCCAACATCAATGATCATTCTCTACGTGCATTAACACCAATAACACCAATACTTACCATTTCTCTCCGAAGTCAAAAAGCACTTCACATTGATAAAAAAAATGAATGTCCGAACAGCCATGTTTCTCCCGCGGAGGTCGACTTGCTTCCATGCGTCTGCAGTGGATCTCCGAGGCTGGCCGTCCAGCAAGGCCCGAGCTTTCTCCACAACTATGCACCGTGATGCAACGTGGGGTTTTGTTGGATTGGGGAAAATGGGTATGTTGTGAGATCTGCAGCGAGGACTTCGGGACCGTGGGACTATTTGTATTCCATTTGCATTAGCTAAATGTGCTAGGTTACCATATGGCCAACAACTTGCGCGCCAAGATCCCTGCATCTGACACCTTGATCGTGCGCGACGTCAACGAAGATGTTATGAAACGATTTGCTGCAGAGGCTTGGGAGACTGCACAGAGCAATGGTGCGTGCCCCAATGAATGCCAAGTCGAGATCGCTCAGAATGCGCGCGAGGTGGCCGAGAAATCGGTAAGAGGTTATCTACTGCGCGGGTCCAGTCCGTGGCTAGGCTGGTGGCTTGGACTATGCCCCATTCATTTGTGTCTTTTTACGGTCTGATTAATATGCTTACTTCTGTCTACCGTTCAGGTAGTCATGGTAACCAGTCTCCCGGAGTCTCAACATGTTAGCGATGTATTCCACTCTATCCTCAAACATGGGCCGCTGCCACCGCTCGAGCAGGAGCGTCTGTTTATTGACGCATCTACCATTGACCCTGTCACATCCAAGGATATTGCAAACACCATCCACACCACGCAAACCGGTCGCTTCGTGGACGCCCCCGTATCAGGAGGCGTGGTTGGTGCTCGTGCGGGAACGTTGTCATTCATGTTCGGCGCCTCTTCGCAATCAGATGAAATGCTTGAGCGTATCCGCAGTGTGCTCGCTTTAATGGGTAAGAAGGCCTGGCATCTTGGTGAGCCCGGTGCCGGCGTGTCTGGCAAGCTCGCCAATAACTACATTTTGGCTCTGAACAATATCGCTACTGCCGAGGCTATGAACCTCGGTGTTCGCTGGGGACTCGAGCCGAAGGCCTTGGCAGAAATGATCAATTCTTCTACCGGTCGTTGCTGGCCCTCTGAAATTAACAATCCCGTTCCAGGTGTTGTTGAGACATCCCCTGCGTCGCATGGGTATGAGGGCGGATTCGGGGTGAGTCTCATGCACAAGGATCTTCGCTTGGCTCTTGCGGCTGCCGAGCAGTCTAATACTCCTCTTGCCCTGGGTACCCAGGCTCGCGAGGTTTATCAGGCTGTGGAGGAAGAGCATCGTGGCAAGGATTTCTCGGTGGTATACAAGTGGTTACAGGAGAAGTCTCAATAAGTTCTTTCCATTTTGAGTGAAGTTCCATAAGTAACTTCCTTTGGAAATCTCTTTTAATTCTGTACTTGCTGCCTTTTCTCACAGATGTGAATTTGAGGATATCAAATTGCAATTTAGCATTCCCCTTCTCGATGAGATCAGGTCTAGGACATCCATTTTGTGTTTCCAGGTCTTCAGAAGATATTCAAGATTTTCAATATCAGTGGTTGATATTCTACGTATCTAGTTGTCTCTTCCCCATGTGACTTCCCTTTTCCCTTTTCCCTTTTCCCTTTTTCCCCAAAACACTCAAATCCTCTTCCATAGCTCTTTCTTTTATTGTTACGCTCTTTCCTTATCCAAGAGGTCTGCCATTTGTTCTTCCTAAGGGGGGGTTTCCTCCATCTTATCCTCCCATCCCCATCCATCAGCCTATCCCTCTATCCCCCATTTCTTTTGCCATCGGTTTCGTCCTGGTCCATTTATCCCATTTTCGATTCCAAGACCGTTCAGACATTCCTTGCCGTATACCTCATCCCAACGTACCTCGTCTTCGCTTCGAGTTATCACCAGACGCCTTGCAGCCTGAGAGAACAGAAGACTGGTTGTATCCTCGACAACAGGTAAGCCTTCTACTCAACTTTGGTTATGTTCGGACCCATTTCCAGACTCCGTTTTGGCTTACCCTAGTACCTTGGATGGCAGCCAGATTTTCCTGTCAGAAGTGTCTATATAATTTGGTGCAAGAACTCAGGTGAGATTTGTGCTCTCAAGTCCATTCAATTGGGGCATTTTGCCAACTGGAAGCCAAAAAGACTGCCCATCAAGCCCTCTCTCTCCCTCTGCCTTTCTGCCAAACTCGAGAAAGTAGCTGATGAAATTGAGCTCTGCCAGTGTACACCCATCATCATGCACGCCCAGGGCTCTCAGCACACGAGCTCCTCTGGCTCTGGCTCTGGTCAGACATCTAGCTCCCAGCCTGGAAACTACCACCAGAGCGAACCTCGTACACCCTTTGGCCCCAGGTACCAGCAATCCACTAATCCGAGTTCCCGTAAAAGCAGTGTTGCAGGCCTGACCAATCTTTTCAATCTGCAAAACTCTCGCCCCAAGTTCAACGGCCCCAAGAGCACCGCGCCAGTTCAATTGAACGCAAATATGGATTGGTCGAATACTAACCGTGCGTACAACAGCCCCTTTATCCTGGTTCCCAATTCCACCGTTTTCAATGGCATTCCGACCGTCTCTTCCTTTGTCCCCAACGGTGTCTCTGGCCAAACTGATCAGATGGGTCAGTTCTCCTACCTCCCAACGGGAGTTTATCCCAACGTCAACCCGGTGGTCACTGGTGGATATTCATCGTGGCCCTATATGATGAACTACGACATCAGTGATGGGACAACCAACAAGCAAGCTACATGGACGACAACTGAAGGCCACAAGGGAGCTCAGGGAGAGAACACTGGTCAAATCCATTACTATCCTTCTGCCCTTGTTTCTGGCATGGATGGCGGTTCCATGTCTGGCTACTCTTATGGAGGGGTGGTTCCTTCCCAGCTTGGGGCACTCTCGCTTCCCCTCCAAATGATGAAGACCCCGAACGGATACGTCGTTCAAGACCTGGAGGCTCTTACTCAACAAGAGCCTGCCATCCCACGCGCGGTGCCTGCCATGTGGACCAACCCGTCTGAGCTGACACTCGCCAAGTGTCTGGAGAACCGCGAGGGTATAACCAATGTCTATATCCGAGGATTTTTGCCCGAGACCACTGATGAAATGTTGCACGCCTATGCAGCCCGTTTCGGGAAGATTGAGCGTTGTAAGGCGATCGTGGACTTGGACACTAGTCTTTGCAAAGGGTACCTACTGCATGAAACTTCTTTCGGATAGTTTCTTCTAACATCCAACAGATTCGGTTTTGTTCAGTACTACAGCTTCGAGTCGTGTGAGAACTGCATTCGTGGTTTCTTTTACCTCGGCTACCAAGCCAGCTTTGCCCAGAAATCTCGCAACTCTCGCCTCAAGGATCTGGAGGACAAGTCTTCTACCAATATATACTGTACTAATATTCCAATCGATTGGACAGAAGCTGTCAGTGATCTAAATCCCACCATCCACCTATCGCGTTGATATCTAATCAGCTTGTCAGGATCTGCGTCGCCATTTCGAGCCATGGCGTGTTGTTTCGGAGAAAATCAGTCGCGATGAGAAGACAGGTGTGAGCAAGGAAGTGGGATTTGCACGGTAACAAAACGCCAATTGCTTGACTCCCATGACTTGTTCTGACTGAAGAATCAAACTTGATTTACAGCTTCGAAAATCGTGATGTTGCCGAAAAGGTTTTGATGGAATTCCACAACGCCACCAAAAACGATGGGGTAAAGCTGCTTCTGCGCTTTGCTGATACCAAGGCCCAAAAGATTCTGAAGCAGCAGAGTAACGAACGTCGTGCTTACCGTGCCGGAGAGTATAACTACTCGGTTGAAGTGGTTCAGGGATCTACTCCATCTCCTGGGGTGAAACGTGGCTCTCATCTTACTCCAAACTCTCAAGTCAGCTACACCTCTCCAGCTGGAGTGGGCTCTAACTGGACCCCAGCAACCTCGATATCTCCATGGTATGTTCCGAACGCTTACATTGCGTTGTAATCCAACACATTCTAATTGAGCTTATAGCCACCCACACATGAAGAATCCATCCAGCAGTGCACGGAGCAGTTCCTTGTCGTCTCGGAGCCTCAACGCTCTTGACCACACACCCGCTTATCGCAGTCGAGCCTTGTCCCTGAGCCGTCGCTCTTACACTGATCTCTCCGGTGGTTCTTCCAAGACTGTCATTGCGGGCTCACCGACTATGGGGCCTCGTAAAGAGAACATCAGAGCTGGATCTCTATCCCCCGCTTCTTCTTCTTCTCCCATGATCATTCTCTCCCCGGCTCGCTCGTGCACTTAAACCTGCCGTGCACAATGCTCCCACGCAATCTTTATTTCCATGGGGTGCTTGACAATATCTCACCACACGGGGTAAAATAATCACCACCTCTCCAGGGTGCACACCAAAATCAAAATGCGCAGCATGTTTTACTATTCGCAGAATGTATTGACGATGTATGGCTCAGCCTTGCTTTTTTTATGATTGTTCCACGATTCATGATTTGATGATTCACGATATGACTTTCGGGGTGTTTTTCTGTTTCTGACCTTTCACGGCATTTTTATACGGCTCTACACGGTATCATTATGGAGTTCGGTTTGCATTTTTCCAGCATATGTGACAGACAAGATGCATGTTTCAAGACTTCGTTCAAAGAACGCCATCGCACCTTGAGGGGTTGCGCAGTCTAATATGTATTGTTTAAGACCAAAAATACCTCCTAGGGCCACGTAAGTTTCCATGTTCAAATCTAAAGCGTGAGCACAACTGTCACGTGCAAAGCAATCTATCTGAAAAGGCCAATGAGATTCGAATCTCAATCCATGCACAGGTATGCAAATCCACAGTATTCAAATCAATTACGCCCAAGTCTCTCCTCCAGATCCTCAGTGAGTTGATAAGCAGGAAGGTACTGTCCATCAGCCTGTGCCCCAGTCCGCAATCTCGGATTAGGATGGGTATCAGACGTTCCGCCAAGACTGGTATATCCTTCATCATAAAGCAAACAATATTTCAAATCCAGATGACGAATAAACGCCCAAATCTCCGCATAATGCCAATCAATCACGGGATGCACGCGCACAAAATCAGGCCAACCCCCATCCGTCCGATCAAAGTGCGTCAGTTGCGCACCGTGCGGATCCGTCCGACGCGTACCAACAAATATTGCCCGGATCCCAGGTTGGCGCGCCAGATAATCCTCAAAGCTAGAGCGGAGCGTCGAATCCGGCGGTGCAGTCGTGTACTTTGTTATGGCGAGATGATAAGCTTCAGCAGAGGAAACAACAAAGTCTTCGACCGCATCGAAGGGATCAGGCGGGAGCGCATAGATCGCCGGGATGACTGTCGCGGCGGCTATCTGGGCCTCGGCCTCGAGGTCTGCGGGGGAGGGGTTTGTATCATTTACGCTTGCGGTGGTGGGGTGTGAGTCATTGCGGACGCGAGATGGATGCAACCCGGCCAGAAACAGAATTAGCAAGACTAGACAGTCCTTGCCGCCGTTGTAGGAGACGGAGAGTTCCGAGAGCTTGTATTGCTGCAGCGCCGTGCTGACTACTTCTAGCGAGATGCGCGTTTGTCGCTGCACGGAGGCTAGCAGCGTGTCCGGGGCGTGAGATTCGCTTAGGAAGGCTTGAACGCGGGCATGAATGCGCGCGATCACAGTGGGGAGAGGAGGGATCGTTTCGTCGCTGGTTGAGTCATTGGGGGGTTGTTTTTTGGTGTGGGCTGTTCCATTCTGGTTCGACTCGGCTTCTTGGTTGGAAGGGCTTGATGCTCTCAATGGCTCGGATGTTGTTGGTGACAGTAGTGGAAATGGCTTAAGATGATCCTGCGGCCGGTAAGCCGCGTTCTTTGCAGTCGGTTCAGTCATGTTTGTGGCGGAGTGAGGGTTGACACAGCGTGGTTCGGGGCGGGGTGTGGGTTTCTTGGGGAGACACAACTTAATCCACTGCGGGGCAACGAATGTCGAATGTGCACATGCACATGTCTATGTATATCTATCTAGATACCTAGACAGTTGAAGTGAGCCGGATTTGACAAATTTAGAACCCTCTTGGAACCCCCGCGTCTCCCCGCAGTTCCTCGGTAGAACTCGGTAGATTCTCGTGGATTATGGATACAGCGGATATGTGCGCATGCATCATTCTTAATACAATTTACTGAAGAAATCTTTAAATGTTTAATTGCGGCCGTGGCCGTGACAATCCATCTAGATTAGTAGCTAGGCTAGTAGCTAGGTTAGCAGTCTATTTATCGAATCAGGACGCAGGTCAGCGGAGCTCTGTGCCCAGAGGTCATCGGTCTGGTGTAATCCCGCAGACAAGTCAGGCCACTAACGTATTTCACTACCGAGCTAGACACCCCCC